CCTTGTCATGACAGAACACCATGTACTTCAATGTACCCACACAGTGTATAAGGCCCGAAAAATTGTCAGATGCTGAAGTGGACTGTAATACGCAGGCATCACAAGCATGCCATAATAAGTCAAAAGGAAAATATTTCTTCTTATCACAAAGAAAAAAAAATGATGTTTAAGCAGAGGCATATCTACAACAAATTGCACCCCTGGAATCCCGCCATCCCGCCCAGATCCTGGCAACCAGTCACTGTTTGCTAGGAGCTGGGCAGGACCCGGCCAGAGCTTCCCAGGTTGCTGGGCTGGGAGATGTGTAAGAGCCATACACATCTCGCTCTTAGGAACCTGGGACACTCTGGCCAGGGTCCTGCCCAGCTCCTGGCAAACAGTGAGATGTGTACGGGAGAGGAAAAAAAACATCAGCTGTCTCTGTGGGTCGGTGAACTTTCGATGACCCACAGAGCAGTGCCCCACCTTGAAGTGGTGCCCAGGGCACTGTGCTTAAGGGCCCCAGAAGGACCGCTTCATCAGGCAACAGTGACACTTTGGGGTATATTTATAAATAATTTGCACAACGTTTGCCTTGCAAAGTTGCATGCACATTCGTTCTGTGCAAATGGAGGACAGGACAGTCTGTCCAACAAGAGCTGTCTCACAAGACAGTCTCTCTCTTTTTAACAGGCACTTCATTACTTGGCACCTGGAGACAAAATTCCTGCATGCAGAAGTTTGGTTGCACTTTACACAGAAGACAGCTTATCACCCCTCTGACAGTGTGACACATGAGGGTACCTCGAAATCTGTGCTCAGTGCCATGCCTTTTCATGGTGCAGGCCGGCTGGCCGCCAGGGATCGTAAAAAAAAAAAAATGATGCTAATCCAGGGGGTGGGGGGATCCATTCAGAAAAGGACAGAAGTGCGCCTCTGTATAAGCCTACTCTACCTCCGGCCCTCTGCCATGTTGCCGCAGCCACCAATCCTGGTGTGATAATAGGAATCTGATGTGAAGAGGGACTGAAGACTCTGCTGTAAAGGGGGCTCGTGATGTGAAAGGCATGGCAGGAGGCAGGAGGTGAACCAGGCCTGGATGGAGGCAAACCTCTGTTCTTTTCTGACTGGACCCTCCCCTCCCTGGATTTGCATCATTCATTTTTATGATACTGACAGCCACCCGGCCTGCACAATGGATAGGCCTGGCGCTGTGCAAAAATTTCAAAGCAGCCCTGATGTGAAGTAGGAAACACCATTTGGAGGGACCATACGTCGTTTTTTACATTTACGTTTTCTACATTTTTAGATTGGGATGCCTTGAAATTTTGCATACTTATAAAGGGTGCTAGGCCTGAAAAAAAGGTTGAGAAATAGCGTTCTATCATCAGCATTATTTTAATGATGTTTCACTTTTTTGTACTGTATCATGTTAGAATATCACAATGGGAGTATGTGTTTCTGCTATTACTGAAATTCCACTCAAAGAATGCCTCCTATTGATACCAACATGTACAATATATTTCCTTAAATTGAGTTACACAAGTTTTGTTTAGGGAAAACCTGTATTGAAAGAAATACAAAAGTTACCATTGCCGACTTGCTTCTTAAAAGGCCACTTGCCTGGCTGCCTCGGACAAGCATAGCAGTCAGGAACTTCTGTACTCCTAATATGCTTGTTACATACGGTAGATTCCATTGGATTACCATGACAGCCAATAAACTGCTTTCTTTTAGTAGTATCATCGGTTGCAGCCTCCTACAAGTAATCATTCTTGGGCCCCACAGATAAAACAAAGCATATTGACAGTGTAACATCCCCCCCCCCCCCACGCGCGCATTGTGTTTTTTTGTTTCTTTTTTTTTCCTTTCATTCTTTTTCTTTTTCTTTTACACATTGTGCAATATACTACATGTAAATCTGGCATCAATTACAGATTTTTCATCACTCGGTAGTGTAGGGTGACGGTGATGCAGGCTCACCCAGAACATGCGAAATAAGCACCAGCTGGTCTTCACCAGAGCTCCTGATGGTAGAGATGGGCTCTTGCTGTGGGTTGTTCCCAGGCCACAGCCATAGGATGCTCTGCCAAGGGATGGGGGAAGTCAGGAAGGCTATGGTTCAGAGACAGTAGATAGGGCTGTAGGCCAGAGTGTGGATAGGAATGGGCAGGGGTCTTGGCATGTGACAAGCTGACCATGGTCAGGCAGTCCAGGTTGGCAACCAGTAGGCAGTAGGCAAGATGGGAGACTAGAGATTAGTTTGGTCCAGGCAGGAGTCGAAGTATGCAGCAAGCAGGGAGTGGTCAGGCAGTCAGGGTCAGCACCACATCAGTCAGGAGGCAAGGCAGGAGATGAGAATGTAGTTGGGTCCAGGCAGGGTTCAAGCCAGGCAGCAGGCAGAGAGTGGTCAGGCAGTCAGGGTGAGCAAGAAGTCAGGGATCAGACTTTAGTATTATAGCTCTTAGTGAAAATGTGCGTAGCTGGTTTAAAGACACTTCCAAAACTGATGTTTAAATACCTCTCTGGATCAGAGTAAGAGCAAAGATTTCTAGATCAGACCACATGGCCAGCTTCATTTCAGGGAGTTCTGCACGTTTTGGCACAAACTCTGCCACCACTATTGGAAATACTGGACAGGATCTTGTTAGAACCATTAGAAGTACTGGCAGGGATCTTGTGAGTACCACTAGAAGTACTGGCAGGGATCTTGTGAGTACCATTAGAAGTACTGGCAGGGATCTTGTGAGTACCATTAGAAGTACTGGCAGGGATCTTGTGAGTACCATTAGAAGTACTGGCAGGGATCTTGTGAGTACCATTAGAAGTACTGGCAGGGATCTTGTGAGTACCATTAGAAGTACTGGCAGGGATCTTGTGAGTACCATTAGAAGTACTGGCAGGGATCTTGTGAGTACCATTAGAAGTACTGGCAGGGATCTTGTGAGTACCATTAGAAGTACTGGCAGGGATCTTGTGAGTACCATTAGAAGTACTGGCAGGGATCTTGTGAGTACCATTAGAAGTACTGGCAGGGATCTTGTGAGTACCATTAGAAGTACTGGCAGGGATCTTGTGAGTACCATTAGAAGTACTGGCAGGGATCTTGTGAGTACCATTAGAAGTACTGGCAGGGATTTTGTGAGTACCATTGGAGGTATTCAGGAAGATCGCCAGATTAACTGTTTTGCCATTTAATATGAACCAATCTGGTCTTTGCAAATACAAACACAGTCGTTCAAAACCATCAGAACTGTCCATATGACATATTATTCCATGTCACTGTATGTTGACCTGAGATGAGACAGAGGGTAAGACTGGGCATCATGGCCACCAGGTTGTTGGTCTCCTAAGATTAGAATGGAACTGGGCTGACTGATGTGGACACGCTCAGCCTTAAGTGACTCATTTATATGCTTGTTAATTAAACATTGTTCAGCTTTCCCAGTTTTCTCCATCTGATATCTAATGTCTAGCTCTCTATGGATAGCCTCAGGATATCTGCTTGACTGACAGAATTAGTATCTTCAGCATAGCCAGCTGTGTAGTTTCAGGGTAGAAATATCCTAAGGAAAGTAAACATTTATGTCTTTCTGTGTGCCTTTATGTATACAAAGTGCAACTGAAGCCAAAACATTGAGTTTTTTGTTTTTGTTTTGGATAGAGTGGAGAGGGATTAGAACATGTCAGGTCTTTATTGCTGTTTGTGTACGCGTTAAGGAGATTCACCCTCTCTATTTGTCCGGGTGACCCTTATCACTGAAAGTGAAAGAAAATCCCACATTTTGGTTGTCATGTGACTAGAAATAGATGGGAAATCCTCCAGTGGGTACACAAGTTCTGGTGACCCTGCTGACAACCAGGGGGTTTCTTCACTTTGGAGGGAATTCCTCTTACTTCCTGTTGTGGCTGTTTTAGTGCAGAATAACATTTTTGTAGTTATCTTTTTCATAGATGTCTGTACATCAGACCAAAAAAGAGGGACAACAAGGCTTCCCCAGCACTGCAAGGGTTCAGTTTTCATTTTGTCTAGGAAGCTAAAAAACCAAAGTTATACTCATCCGAACCACAATTTTGGCTTGCTCTTACATTACTACCTCCAGCCTGTCTTCTCCTCCACTTCAGAGATAGTATGTCCCTTGCCGTCCTCATGATGAGTCACAGGACCTTAGAACGCTGGAGTGGAAGGGAAGCGAAGCTGAAGGGAACAAGCCAGGATCGCGGTTCGGGTGAGTATAACTTATTTTAGTTACCTCGACAAAACAAGCTCTTAACCCTTGCAGTGGAGCTACCCCTGCACTGTAAGGGTTAAGATTTGACTTTCCCAGAGTTCTGCTTTAAAGGTGCCCATACACTGCACGATTATCGTACGATAATCGTATGCGATCGGTTTTTCGTACGATAATCGAGCAGTGTGAACGGAGACGTGCGACCGTTTCTACTGTACAGTCGCACGTCTTCTGTCGAACCAGCATGTTCGAAAACCAGCCGGGAATCGTACGATTCTCGGCTGGTTAGAACGGTGCTCGGAAGACAAATGCCGAGCGGGCCGGTGTGCGCACACGCACACTGCCCGTTCAGCATTGCGGTCATCGGAAGCCCGCCCTTCAGGGGGGCAGGCTTGCGATGATCGAGAGTGCGATCTGTCTGTCCAAGATAGGCAGATCGTACGTTTTTTAAATCCCTGTACAACCATCGCAAGACTAAAGTCTTGCGATGGTTGTAGAGTGTATGGCCACCTTTAGGATGCTGAATTTTTTTAAGGATCAACATGTATTTTTCTGCACGTGCAGGAAAAGTGCTTAGCATGAAAAAAGGAAACGAATGCAGCCACCACATCCAAGGATCGGTATGCTGCAAATATATGATATTTTTGTTCTTGGGTTTAGTTATACCTTAAATCCATATTCTTTTCACCTTGTAACATTTTGAATAGAGCAATAGGGGTTAAATACCTTTGCAATGCACTGCATCTGTCTATTCAGTCTAGTTGTTATCTTCTCATTACAGATCTCCCCCTCAGCTTTTCTATGGATACTGACATTGTTCATCCTGTCCGGGTGGATGAACATGGCTCTTTCCTGACCTTTGATTTAACTCCTCGCAACCTGCAGAAGAGAGGACTTTCTTCCGGCTCGGTGCCCACTACCTATTACGGGATCAGATTCCAGGGAGTGGAGCTGACCTTTAACCTTAGCCAGAACCACCAGCTATTGGCCCCTGGCTATGTGAGTGAGTGGCGCAATGGAGGCCTCAGGGAGACAAGGCTTGTAAGCCGACCACCTGGCTCATGCCACATGCGGGGGGCAGTTCAGACACACCACCAGCTTGTTGGCAATGCCGCTATTAGTATCTGCAGTGGACTGGTAAGGACTGATCATTTTATACTCTTTTTTAACACTTGTGGTCATGAAATCATGTATCGCAGATGTATACAGGCATATAAAAGAGAATTATGCCAACTGGTATTTTTGTTAAATGAAATATCATCTACATTGAAATATTGTAAAAAAATATGCATGAGAATAAAAGAAAGATTTCCAGGTGATGCCCCTAATTTAAACTTCTTTGATCCTTGTATTGCCAGCTTACAAATTTTGAGGATGATACATATCCACTTATTAATAAAAGGGTGACATGGATGAAGGACAGGACATGTACATGGAGGTACACTGGAGGGGCATTTCCATGGTGCTGCCTAATTCTTCTCTCATCCTTTCAGCAATAAGGGTATTCAGTAACATGAGTTTTGACTGTCACAGTAGATGAATACATCTTTTATGGGTAAAGCTTTCTCAGACAAGGAAGGCTTGATCTGTTATCCTTAGGATAACCTTTATTGTGTGTTTGGGTCTTCTGACAGCCAAGGCAGCATTCGGGGCTGAATGAGAAAAATCGTAGTGTATGGCCAGTTCCACTTTTTCCAGTCATGTTTGAGAAAACCCCATTGCATGTTTATGTGTTCCTATTCACGCAGCGTACCTGAAAATAATTGTTTCAAAAATATTTCTTACCTTTTAGATATGTCTGTGTAGATGGTCTTTGCAAGTTATTCGCTCAATTTCCAAGTGACCGGAAACTGTCTGTCCCCCATAGAAAGACTAGGGACATTCTGAACGTCCCCTTATTAAAGTGGACCTTTACCATCATCTTTACAATAACAAACACACCTTTAGAAATGTTTAGTAATGACAATCTACAAACACATACTTCTAGATAATTGCCGGCGTTGTATTCCGTGCATACCTTATTTCTCTTTTCTTCCCCAGTCTTCTGACAGTGGCCATGTTTACCAAGGGCAGATTACTAGATCTCCTTTTACTTCCTGGAACTCTGGCACATGTGACTAGGACATGTGACCACGCACATCATCTCAGGGGAGGAAAATGCCTTTCCCTGAGATCACGTGAGATTACAGATGAGATTTCCCAGCAATGCTCTGCTGATGTAACTTTCCCAGGATGCAATGCTTGGGCACGATCACATCACTTGTGCCAAAGTAGACCAGGAAGTAGAAAAAAAAAAATTGTAAGTAAAATAAAAAATAAGATTGTTTAGCTAATGAATGTAAGATGATTTCATATGATCATGCAGAGCTGCACGCTGATGTGATTTGTTGTCAGAGGGGTTAAAGATCCATTTTAACATACAATGCCTCTTGATATTTAACTCTTTGTTAGGACAGACAGTGTTCAAATCTAGTTTACAACTGATGAGATCTGCCAGAAAAGTACAGACAGGGTTAATTATAATATGATGAAAGTGATGGGCAGACAGAAAGTTCAGATGTTTGGCCGGGAGACAAGGAGAGACGCAAGGTAGGTTTATGGAGCAGCGTGCACCTGAACAGACTCCGCGGGACATGAGACAAGAGGAGGACAGAGGAGTCAGCGCTGGATCAGAGACCCGCACCAGCGCTGGAGGGACAGCTGAAAAGGAGATGATGATCGAAAAAAGAGGGATCTTTTAAGGTAAGTCCCTACAGCAGGATTGGGAAGGGGGAAAATAATTCTGACTTTAATGTCACTTTAAGTTCTGCTCTGTGAATGGAAACAAGTAACACATATACATTGTATATTAGGAGTTATGCCAATGTGGCTGCAAAAGTGGAAATACACTTTCAGATCCCTACTACAAGCTTTATAAATGTATAAAGAAGAAGGGAAGGGATTTACAGCATACCAAAAGCTTGCATCTTTAAGACCTTAAAGGGTATCAATTAAACTTCAAACTTTCTGTGTTAATCTTTGGCTAATACTCTACTAATCCTTCAGGTAGCCAACACAAGAACATTGCTGACATATGCAGGACGGAGACGAGGATGCTCCTGCTAACATGTAGTTAGGAGTGTCTCATAGGGGTTTCCCCAGGTGTGCAGTCTGACATGTCTGAAGGATGTGTAATTCCAGGTGTACAGGGTCACATTTAATGTCTGAGGCCTGGCGGAGATGCCAGATGTTTCTGGGCCTCGCAGAGCTCAGACATCTGCTTTAGAGTGATCACAGGTAATGCTCAGTGTTTCATCTCTGCCTGCAGGCCAGGCACACATGGATTGTCATATAACCCTTTCATTGACCCAGTGGCCAGTAAAATATCTAAACTGACATTAATCCTCTTTTTCTCGTTTTCCCCTCTTGTCTCTAAGAGAGGTGTCTTCCAGCTGGAGCATGAAGATTTCATAATCGAGCCAGTGGCAACAACAGCTCCACCATTGGGGAAAGCAATGCCTCATCGGATCTACAGGCGTCATTTAGCTGAAGGGCAGCAACCAGGGTACAGGAGCTGCGGTGTGAGGGGTAATGTTTGGGGAGGTCACTTCTTCTCATATCTCTTGCACCTAAACCTATATTATACCTTTTCAGATGTTTGGGGTCCTAGGCGGATAAGAGAGCATTAAGGCCCTGTTCACTCTGGTTTGTCCTACGTCTGCTGACGTGCTGCAATGCATGACAATGGAAGTCACATTATTCTTATGGTATCTCTTCACATCAATGCAACATCTTGCCGTTCAAATTTTGAGAAGGTGCTGGTGTTTCCTTAAAGAAGAACTCGAGGTAATAGAAAAATGTACCCTTGCGGTGGGGATACCCCACACTGCAAGGGTTAATGGCTCGTTTTTTTTATAGGTTCAGAAATAAAGAAGAAATAATCACCTGATCCTTGCTCCCGCCTGGCTGCTGGGCCAGAACCCACAACCTCTTCTCCCCCGGGCTCTGATGGTCTAAGTCCCGCAGATGGAATCATGTCTAATTCAGTCCATTCACCTGCATTAGACATGAGGACACAGAGGGACATACCACAGCCAGAGCTGAGGGGGAGAAAGGTGCCACTGTCGCAGGACTGAGTTAGTATTTCTTCTTCTTTATTTTAGCTCTAGAGAAAAACGAGCTGTTAACCCTTGTAGTGTGGGGGTAGACGCCCTGCCAGGGTTAATTTTCCTAAAACCTGGAGTTCATCTTTAAAGAACAATTCTGGGTCAAAGAAAACATAAAAACGCATTAAAAGCGCATCACAAATTAGCACAATTGCACTGCAAAAAAGCACCAAAAAAGCATAATCCCGCAGCAGCACTAATGTGAACGTAGACTTAATCCTCCATGACTGATATTTCTGCAGCTTGAATCACCCACCATTTCCGGCACTCCAACAGCACGTTTCTAAATGTGTCTGCTACAGCCATGGCAAGGAGTCTCACTTTTTCTGACTAAGTTTTCATTGATGTCATAGAAAAGGCACTCAGGACACTGGGACCTCTTTGTCTGCAGCAGGAGGATTGAGACTCTGCAGGGGAGGGGTGTACGACATAGATATAGTCATGAAAAAGAAAATAAAAGGTATAAGAAACTAGATGCCAACAAATAAGAATATCTCTGTCCATCTAGAACTAAATTATTGGAAGAGAAACGTCTTATGTGAATTAACATTAGCTTTAGACTAGTGTTTACAAGTGCAGAATGTAAAAGTTCAGCCTTCATGAGATGTCTTGATACAGGTAACCATTCAGATCTTTGTCTAGGACTTAGTAATGATTAAAGCGGAATTTGTCTGTTATTTGTTCTCATAAGATCTTTGCGCCATAATTCCATAGGGACACGATACTAAAATAACCACAAAGCATCGCATTCTCATCAAGTCTATATATTTTTATAGATGCTCCTTAGTCGCTGGCAGTGTTCCATGTTTAAGAACAAAAGGATGTGGCAGTTCCCATTTCTATTTAAAAGCGCTCCCTCTCTGGAGTAACGTACATGGGAACTAGGATGTGGCTGCTTTAATGTTACTTGTATTTATACAGCTCACTGGAGAAGAGAGGCATTAATATAGATATGACCTGGGAAATGAGCTCGCCACATTGATTTACATGCCAAACTATTTCCTACAAATGTCTTTACATTTTTAAAAAAGTTAGAATAAAAACATTTGTGGTTTTGGTTTCGGCCTGACATTTTCCCTTTTCGATTTTGAAATTTTCATTTCGGTGCACCTCTGGTACTTTGCATACTGTCATTGCATTTTGTAGGAAATAGTTTGGCATGTAAATCAATGTGGCGAGCTCATTTCCCAGGTCATATCTATATTAATGCCTCTCTTCTCCAGTGAGCTGTATAAATACAAGTAACATTTCAAATAGAAAAAGGAGGACACAGAGTCCTCAATCTCTTTTTCTGCAGCCTCTGTTATAAATGAACAGGAATCCTCTACACTGAGTGTATCATGAATGAACAGGAAGGGATGTAGATCACTTCCCATTCATAATTGAGGATACAGTAAACATACTATGTCCTCAATTATTTACAAGCACTCAGGAGGAGAGAAAGAACGGATGCACCGCTGTATTGGCCAAAAAATGTAACTTTCGGCATTATGCCAAAAGTGCCATTTTCGGCCGATATATCGGTGCATCCCTACAAGGTACAGTTATCTATGGCAGCCAATCAGATTTCATTCATTTTACAGCCGGCAAAAAAATCTGAATAGTTGATATGAGGTCCATTTATAAAAGTTCACATGGCACTAGCGCCCCTAGATGGCGCTGATGATTCCTATACTCAGCGCTGTGTGAATTGAATCCACTTGGCAAACATTTATACATGAACCCCGATGGGTCAGTGCACTTTGTATGTTGCCCTTTGTCATGTTAAACAAACAGAATACAGTAGTATTGTCTATATATGATAGTGAAAACTTTCTGAATAGGCAAGATAATTGGTTGTACATCTTGGTGCCTGCACCGGGGACTTAAATGCAGTCAAAAGCTGAATTTGGAATGTGACCGGTGTTTTTGCTGTACTTTGGATTATTTTGATGTTCCCCATTACTACTAGCAATATTAAAATAATCTGCACAGAGAAATATTTAGGTTGCCACTGCTGACCAATCCTAGTTGCCTGGATGCCTCTGGTTTTCAATGCCTCTGGTTTTCTCTGACCCATTATAAGAATGCAGCACATAAAAGTCACAGTGTTTCCAGAACTTCTGATCTGCATGCTTGAGGTCTATGACCTAAGACAGGGGTGTCAAACTCAATTTAATCGCGGGCCGCATCAACATTATGGTTGCCCTCAAAGGTATCTGTAAGACTATATAAATGTATCTAATCTTTATCATAATTGCCTCTGCATTCGATTATCACTGGTTTTAGTAATAACTTAATACCTAGATCTGAAAGTAGAAGTCTAGGAAATGACCTGGTGGGCCGGATTCGGCCCCAGGGCCGTAGGTTTGACACATGTGACCTAAGAAGTAAAGCCATTGCTCAGCATTACAGCCAGGCGAGTCGTTTTCAGAAGGAAAGCTCGAAAATGGCAGGATAGTGCCATTGTTCCAAATTTACAACTGATAATGAGATCTGCCAGCACAGACAGGGTTAATTAGGTTATACATTATGGACAGCTACTGGAGATTGCTCTGTCCCTTGTGATCTTATACTAGACAGAAGTTCAGGGAAGGCAAGCTGAGAGAGTTTCAGCCGTCTGTTTGGAAAGATGATGACTGTAAGTGATTGGGCAAGAAGGTAAATACTTTGCTGGGCCATGTATATTTGTTTGATCTCGAATCATTATTGGAAAATGGGGTGAGAAAAGGGATGAGGGTTTAATACTACTGTAATGCTAGACAGAATGAAACCATTTTCTTTCCTATGGTTCCATGCCATCATATTCTACATCTTCAACCTCCTAGATGTGCACCTGTTTTCTAGATCTTTAAGTCCTGACACACCAATACATGGCTCTTCTTTGTGGTTGGGTGACCACCTTCTCATGTCTACTAAACGGTCAGGCTGGTTGTTGGAAGCCCAGTAGAAATGAAAAGGAGCACCCTAAAACACAACACATGTGCCCAAAGCATGTTGACATACATTATAATATGTAGTAACACATGCATAGTTGACTTAAAGCACATCCATCATGGGGACTGCCATCTCTAACCTGCTTCATGAATGTTAGTTGCCTGACTCTACCTGGCTTCAGTATTTCTGAATTATAGACTTAGAACATGAACACTGATAAGAAAGTCATAAAAATGTCCGATCTTCATACTTGTTCCAGATCAGTATCAAAGCCAAAGCATGACAACCAGGTAATTAGCATTTCCTGCAGTGGCAACCAGTATATTTATATAGATATATGACATAATATGCAGTAGTGTGCAGAATACATGGATCCATTCACATCAGTTCCTGCCTCCATGGTTTTGGATCAAAGGCAGAGTCCCACCCAGACAACAACCAGGGACAACAACCAAACTAATTGAAGCTAATGGCCCACAGAGGATTCAGACTGAGAACTAAAACACAAGAGTGCCACACTTTTGCCTAATTTTCCCATGTGGCCATATATGGTCAATGATGTCACAACATCCCACCCCCTTTGATTATCTGCAGTTGTGGGTGGGGAATTCCCCAGCCACAGCTAATTGGGCGGCAGCGGAAGGAGCTCTTGTCCAGGTTCAGAGGAGCTTACATTCTGACCGTACCTGAGCTCATGCCTAATCAGGTGTACAAAAACAGTCCTTTATAAATCGAGTCAATAAGTCACCCAGCGGTTTTAAAAAGGGCAAGTGATCATATTAACTCCCACCGTGAATTGCTTTAGTAAATGTGAAGAATGCAGACATTTATTTGAATTTGGCATGCAGTCATGCATGATTCAAGCCATGGTTTGTGATGTGTTTTACAGTTTTTATATGCAGTATTGCTAACTTAAGGTGAAATGTTCAGAATAGAGGTTTTCATTAGCGCAGATGATATAAAAATGCACAAACATATATTTTTGTGTATTTACCATTTATTACATACATTATTTATTATTATTTATTACATACATGTCTTTATTGTCTAAAAAGTCTCTATGCTGCTGTGAACTTTCCACATGGTAATGAATGGGCTTTCTGAATGAAAAAACATTTTCATGCCTTAAAACACATGGATGACAGACAAATGGGAATGGGCCCTCAAGCAGGCAGTGGGTGCAGGCCAAAAAACCAAACACAAAGCAGGAGATCTGAATATTGTGCCTCAGACCTTACAACACTTTTGGTAACATCTCTTATCTCTTCTTCTGTTAGAGAACCCCGAATCACACAATAAATGGGAGAGAAGAAGGGAGCGCTGGGAGCAATCACAGAAACAACACAGAGAGCGCCCTATATCCCGCCGTTCCATTAGCAAAGAAAAATGGGTGGAGACTTTGGTTGTTGCTGATCCCAAGATGGTGGAATATCACGGAAGTAACAATGTGGAAAACTATGTGTTGACTGTCATGAACATGGTGAGAATAAGCTAACCTAGTAAAGTAATAACTGCTATACCATTGAGTTCCAAATAAGTTAGCCATGTTTGCCAACAGGCTGTTATTTCTGAGGTTGGTCTATGTGGGGTATCATCACAAAGTGGGGGATCTGAGAATAATGAAGGTGGATTGAGTAATTGGTTATATCTGTTGACAACTGTGAATACCGTAACCAATTTTATACTCTTCGTTCATTCTGAATGCAGTATGTCTTCTTTCACTGGTTAACCCACATGTTGGGATTTTTCTTGCAGGTTGCTGGGCTCTTCCATGACGCTAGTATTGGGAACAGGATAAACATTGTTATCGTGCGCCTGATCCTGCTAGAGAGTGAGGAGGTAACACCGAGAGGCACCTATTGACATCCAATGGGGCAGTGGAACAAGAGACTAAAGGGAGGTAAACATGAGGGAGCATAGAGTAGTACACCAGCAGGGACTCTGGGAAAGGACTGAAAACAATACAGCTGACTTGACAGATTTGCTTGGTAAATAGATTGAGAAGTAGAAGTGTTTTAGGAAAAGTTTAAAATAGAGGTAAAAATATGATAGACAGGTGTTCAGTCTATAATATGGAAGGTTTTCTTCATCTCTTAGGAGGACCTGAAGATTACTCATCATGCTGACAACTCTCTGCGCAGCTTCTGCAAATGGCAGAAGAGCATCAATATGAAGAGTGAAGATCACGCTTTACACCATGATGTGGCTGTTCTACTTACCAGGTGACTGGACACAGGCTACAAGAGAACCAGTAAATGACATATATGAAAGTGTAACTGCCCTGGTCCTATATAGCAGCCATTCAGATTCCATGGTGTCCCCTACTACCATAAACATGGTGGAATCTTTGGTGCACTTCAAACTTTGGAACCTTCTGTTCTGTGGCTCCATGCCTAAAAAAAAAAAAAGCCTGTCATAGGAGGTTACAGTTGGATTTTTATCGCTGAGTACAAATACTAACCAACTAACCTACCAGCATGTCCTTGGAGTGTGGGAGGAAACTGGAGTACCTGAAAGAAACCCACACTAGCACAGGGAGAATGTACAAATTCCATGCAGACCATGTCCTGCCCAGAATGTAAACCAAAGAGCCCAGTACTGCAAGGCATAAGTGCTAACCACCGAGCCAATGTGTTGCTGTTAATCTCGTGGTTTACTGCATAAAATGGAAAATAAGATTGGTTGGTGTAGTCTGTACAGGCAATGATGCTTTCTGGCATTTCACATATGAGGTTTAAATTCTTATTTCTCTAATCTCAACTTTTCTCTCTGTTGGTCACAAACAGGATGTTGCTCTGGACCATCGATTTTTATATAAGATCTGCAAATATTGACAACTGTTAAAAATGGACTGCTACTAACAAAGACTTACGTCACTTATGCATTGCTACTGTAGTCAGTACAAATGTTTTCAGTGTCCAGGTAAAACTATAGGTAGGAAACCAGTTTTAATAGTTGTGTATGTTTGTTGTCACTACAGGAGAGACATCTGTGCCTCTATGAATCGTCCATGTGAAACCCTTGGTCTTTCCCATGTGTCTGGCATGTGCCAACCACACCGTAGCTGCAATATTAATGAAGACACAGGTCTGCCTACGGCATTCACAGTCACTCATGAACTGGGACACAGGTAAATAAACTCTTAGGGCCCATTTAAACTGTTGTGTAAAATGAATGTGTCCAAGTTCTCCATAATAAAACAATAAAAAAAAGTGGCCTCACTTATCTCTGCGCTGCAATGCAGCATGTTTTGAAAAATACAATTTTTCTCTTCATTTTAGTGCATTGGGAGGATCGGCAGCACAGAAAACTGTTACTGACATCCTTTTGTTATGCAAATCGTTCTTAAAATCCTGTCATCTGTTAACTATTTAGTGGAATAAAGACATGAATGTAAATCAGCACTGATAGATGGGTCCTAAAAACATTATCAGAGACAGTAAAATATAACTGATTGTTGTGGGTCACAATAGATCATTGTTGATTATGTTATATTCTTCAAAACCAAAAGGCCCATACACCCCACTGCTCTGCAGCAACATGCATTACGTGCGTTGGCGCGATGCTGCGCCATTCACTCAGGTATACCTTCTCAACATACTTGCATTGTATCACAACGCACACTCATGTCTTGCCATGTGGTGTGCTGTGAAAGATGCTGCATGCATCTGTATGGGTGCGTTAGAAGCTCATTAAGATAACAACAATGCAATAATAAAACTGTAAAACAACACGTCAAGGACAAGAGAGCGGCATTTATAAAATATAAGACGGAGGGGACGGCATTGGCGTTCCTTAACTACAAAGAATGTAACAAAAAAATGCAAACTAGAAATCCGGGCAGCTAAAACTGAGTGCGAAAAGCATATCGCCGCAGATAGTAAAAAGAACCCCAAAAAATTTTACCCAATATATTAACAGTAAAAAGGTGAGAAAGGAGCAGATAGGCCCAATAAAGGATGGAAGCGGGAAGCTAGTCACAAACGACAAGGAGAGGGCCGAGGCGCTGAACGCTTTTTTCTCCTCAGTATACACTCAGGAGGGAAACGGGTTTGACACACATGATAAAACTCCCAGTTTAACTCAAAATATACCCCAGTGGTTGAC